TGAGATAACTTGTTTCCTTCAAAACAAAACCCAGATATATTGACAGTGAATGTGAATTGTGCTGTTTAAAGTATTTTTGTATACTGTTTCCTTTTATAAAACTGCCATAATTTACTAATAAAATTGTTGTGTTTTTAGTTCTATTTTAACTAGAACATGTAATTAGAACACTTTCTACAGAAGAAAAAATAATTGGCACTTTATTTAAATATAAAATATAAAATATTTTTTAACACCTAGAAGAAACTAAATTGGGTAATAGAGAGAATTTAGGTTCTGAGCCTAAACATGCTTGGATGTGACAGAAAGAAGAGATATACATCCCTTTACAAGCAAGATAGGGGGTGGGTAGAGGTGTGCATTGTTCTTTTGGGTTTTTCTTTTTGAAAGCACAGGTGATGAAAAAATTTAGCTATTAAAAGAATATTAAAGTCACCAGTTCAGATTAGTAATATTAATTATCCATCTTCTGGAGGATGTTACAAAAGATGAGAATCTTTCTGGGTGCTCAGTATTGGAGGGGTTCTGAACCTTAGTGTGGGCTTTTAAAGTACCCTAATAGTTAACTGCATTGGCAGACTAATAGTATCTTTTGTCAGAAATTATAATCACACTTATGCCTTCCCCTCCCTTTGTGTGTTAGGATCTGTATGAATATTTGTTTCAGCTTATTGGCTGGGGTTTTTTTTCCCTCTATTTGTCTTGATTTTATATGTGCATCTAGCTCCATGGCAACAACTCAACCCCTCAGCCTGGGTAAATACTGAAGTCACTGTGTATGAAAACAGAAGTTTTCTTTGCAGCTTTGACTTTCCTCCATTTAGTTTGATGATTGCTATTGGTGTGTTTGTTTGTTTGTTTTTAAACCTTCAGTGCTCTTGAAATTTTGTGTATTTTTTAATGCTACATGAAATATTAACACTTAGCCTCCTCTTACTCTCGTACCACACAGAGGTCATGAGCAGAACATATGTGAGTTCATACATTTAATCATTTCTGGTAGAGAGGAGGTTTTTGTCTCTGTGTTTGAATATCTAGAGTAGCTGGTAATTTGACCCATGACTCTTTAAAAAGACACTGCCAGCAGAAAAGGTTCTCTTAGATTCAGATACATTAGTATTATACTTAGCAATTTTAAGTTAGAGTTACTTTTCTCTGATGACTTTGATCAAAAATGTTGAAACTATGTTCCTGTTTGTATTTTGTAAGAAAGTAGTGAAGTAATATTCCATAAGGCAATAGTAGGGTTTGGCTTTTTTAACTTTAGGTGAATTTATGTTTGGTTGGGATTACTACATTCAGAGATCCATTGCTTTCAGAATTTTTATTTGAAGGAATGGTTCAGAAGGTGTTAGGTTTAAGCAGCAGATAGACATGGAAATCTTAGTGATTCTACCCTATGAAAAATGTTAAGTAATTGGGGAAAAAAAGTGCCTGTTTTTACTGTTTACATGGACTGTCGTGTGTAAATCCCACAACAGGTGTCAAAATAATTTAGAAATTGAAAGCAAAGCTAGTCCCAGATCCTTCAGTATCTGTATTGAGAAATGCCTATCATAGTCTGAAAACCATAGAATAATAGAATCTTTTAGGTTGGAAAAGACATTTAAGGTCATTCAGTCCAGTTATAAACCAGTGTTTCTCTTGTTTTTCTTGATAGAAAAAAACACTGGGCCAGACATCTTACTACTGGTGCAGGAATTAAATAAAAGGAAGCAACTTCGTAATCCTATGGCTATTAGCTGGATTACTCTACATTAGTGATTTAATGAGGACCCTAAATGTCCTGCAAATGTCTCTGTGGTTTTTAGAAATATCTGTTTTACTTAAGAAATATCAGATGAATAAATCAGTTCATTAGTTAGGGGACATAAGAGTCTTCTCTCCACCTGGGAGGAAGAAACCCATAATAGTCTCTCATCCAATTAAATACCTAGAATAACAGCAAGTTTGTAAAAAGGTCTTGGCATATATAGAGTGCAAAAGGTTTGGGGAGGTAAAGACATGTTCCTTAGAAGCCGTTTCAAGGATTTTTGAATGGGATGTTTAAGTGACCTTTGTTTTGAAATTAGTTTTACTCTCTCAGTCCATTTCCAAAGAATCTCTATTAGAAAATCTCCCCAGTCAGAAAAGCACGTTTACAGAAGAATAGCTAATAACACTTTTTTTAGGAGCTGTAGAATATCTGTTTGTATGTAAATTAAATTTTGTTTCAAATAAAACTTTCTAATTGGTAAATTTTAGTTCTAAACAAAATATTTATCATAGATACAGATTGACTGTGTATGTGTATTTAGGCTTCTGTTTTCAATCTGTGTAACTTTTAATGTATACGTAGGTGTTATCTGTCAAGTGTTGAAGCAAGGCTCAGATATAAAAATATCCCTTCCTTTCTAAACATAATTTAAAATGTGACATGTGCATGTGTTACATTTGTGTGTGCATATGGATTAACAGATAGTTATGGAAAATATACTAAAATAGCAGGTTTGATTACATGAAATTCGGGTTTGATTAATTACTGCTGTAAATTGTTCTGGCACTGTGCCAACTCGGGAGTGCATTGCTCTAATGCAGTGACAACTGCTGAAGGGAGGAAGGTGCATCTCAGTCTCAAAGCTGATAGCTCAGTAGGAGAAATGGTTGGCTGTGTTTGTGTGCTTGCTGGGTTGTTTTTAAAATCAAGCAAACAAACCCAAATAAATAAATGACAACCTGTCACAAACAAACAAAGCCCTCACTGCTACTGCTTCCCCCAAAAAACCCATCCAAAGCTCCAAAGCCAATTACTGTTCATTGAGAGCACAGTGATCCCAGATCACAGGGAGTTTCTTTGTGAATTTTTAGGTGTGTCTTCTCAGAACTAAGTGCAAAGGAAAAGCAGCATGTCTGGTTTGGGTGGAGCATTTGATGGGAATACCTTAGACAGCGAGTGTTTGATTACTTCCATTTTAAATTTAGTCTCCTTAGAATTTTCAATGTTTTCAAGATAAAAAATGGCCAGTACTGCTTAGGCTATCTGACAGACTAAGGAATGTCTAGTTAGATCTATTAGGTCAAAAGACAGCAGAATGTACTTTTAGTTTTCTGGTCAACTTTCCTGAGAGTTTTGTTTTGCTTACTATTGAGATGTACAATGAAGGCATTTTCCTAGAAAAAACTAATTCATTGGGATTTTTTGAATGTCCTTAATGTCTAGAAAAAGTCACAAGATTTGTTTAGGAAGAACTGTGGATGTTTTAGGTAGCTTTTATACTTTGGAATTGACTAACCTTTACATTAAAGTACAGTGTGATAATTATTTTTCTTGAAACACAGTAGTGAGGTTTATTTAGTCCAGTTCTGTTTTCCAGTACAATTGTGCAGTTCTGCTGAAACCAGTGCAATAGGGATCAGCGTGGCTTTCTTGTGTCACAATGTGAGGTGTTGCTCCTTTTCTGAGCCTTGATAAATGTTCTATGTGTGTGTGCTTTTCCTAAAATACTTCTATCATTTGGGGGTCACAGACATTTCTGAGTCAGGGTCAGAGAACTGTTTTCTACTTGTCTTGTAGCTATGGAGTATGGATTAATGGCAGGTATTCAAACTGGCTTCAGATATATTGGATAAAGACAAGCTGGAATTTACATTTCTAACTGCATCTTAATATAATTGCAAATTGAGCTAGTGTTTTTAATTTTAATCAAGTGATAATTTCTGAACTAATTTTGTCTCTGGCTGGTGACATATTTAATGTCAAAGAGAAATAAACAGTAAGTACCATCTAAGTTCCAATTGAAGAAAGGTTTGAAATGTGTTGATAGATTTTTACATATTCATTTAAACATAATAAAAGTAAAATTGTCTTCCTAAAAGTGGCATCTGAGTAGGTGTAGGATCTAAGTAGTTTATGACAGTAATCTGAATTTACTCTGGTCCACTAGAAAAAATGGCAAGTAGTGAACAATTTTCAAGCATTGATTCCACCTAGTGGTAAAAAAATATTATTACTGGTTTACATAATGCATATTCAGAATAACATGAAGTTCCTGTTATATATAAAGAAAGAGGAATTAAACTGTCTCTTTTGTTTCATAATCTACACACATGCAGTACTTTAAAAGCTGTTCAGAGTAGGCAGCTAGAATTTGAGCACTTCACTGATTGATACTGATAGGGATGGTTTAGATAATGTTTCCAACATACTTACTCTGTCAAATTTAAAAAAAAATAATTGCACAACTGAGTGAGAGTAATGGGAACTTTGTACAGGTTTTAAAAAGTCCTTTTTATGTGTGTATACGTGTCAAAAACAGGCTTTTGTAGTTTTTTGTTTGGGTTTTGTTTGGTTTTTGTTGTATTTTCTTTTTCTTCTTTTTTTTTTTTTTGTTTGTTTTGTTTTGTTTTTTGAGGCTTTTTTGGAGGGGGGGATTTTTTTTCTTAAATAAATCTGTCCTTGGAACAGAAGTTTGAATTCAGGTAACATAAAGGGTGTGGATGTAGGTTGGGAATTCCTGGCACAGTGATCAATGAGATTTTGCAATGAACCATGGTGGAGAGATGGAACTTGGGGAACACTCACCTGGCAAAATACTGACTTGGCTAAGTTCCCAGAACTGTTTAAGAATGGATCTGTAGGGTTCATCCTGTGGGCACAGGGAGAGGGTGACGTGTGCAGGGGAGAGGCTGTAGGAAGGCAGGGCTCCTGCTCCTGGAGGTGATACCAGTGTGTGCCAGGCAGTAATGACTACAGCTTTGGGTAATGCAATCTGGCAAGAGCAGATGATGCAGACTCCCTTCCTCTGTAAAATATTGCCAAACTACTCTGTAGCAACTGCAAAACTTGACCCCTTCCAATTACAGTAACATGTGAAACCATCTTAGCCCCAGCTGATGTAGGCCCAGTATAAAAAATATGTTTATACTTGTAACATCCATAAGTGACAATTAACATGTAAGACAGTAACACAGTTGATTCTGACTGATGTAGGAAGACTTTTTTTTTTCCTTTTCATTTATAGGTACTTGTTTCACAGTGGCAATCCAGAGCATCCTGGAGACATACTTCTAAACACAACTGTAGAAGTTTTGCCTTTTCAGGTATGAATTTTTTGATTTGTATCTTCTCCTTTACAGGATAAAAGAAAAGTCTCTTTGACTTTTTTAACAGGGTGAGGAGACATAAATGGTTATTTTAACTGTATAAACTTGATGTTATGATGTTCTCATACTTTTCCTTCTTTTCATTGGATATGTTCAGAGAAGACTATTGTAACTATTCAGATGTTCATTCAGGGTGCAGTTGCTACAAGTGCTGTTGGTAATTTTGAGGTGAGCAAGGTAATTTTCTTCCAGTTCATTGCTGCTATTTAAAACAAAAAAATAAACAGTCTGCCCTCTCCTGTGTATTTTGGGAGATGAAAGTCAGTCTGCTATTTGACTTTGTAAAAAAGTCTTAGTTGAGGGATTGACACACATCCAAACCCACTAGATACCAAAATATATAGATTCTTAAACAGAATGTGTACCTTTCTCCCAGTTTCTGATTTTTTTCCCCATAAATGAGCCAGTTTTACAACAGGAGAGTGCTACACTATCTAAAGTATATTCTTGTTTGAAGTCAGATGGCATTGGTTCTTTTCCTTCAACTAGATATTACAGCTAACTATTTATATAACAAAAGACTGAGAGGATTAAGATATTACTTCAGACAAGTTTATTTTATTTAGTATTAAAATGGCAAAGTATCTCTATCTTCCCCCACATACCTGGTAAAGGAATCTTGAAAAATAGGCCGAATGTTGAATGGGGGTTTTTTTTGTTTGTTTGGTTGGTTTTTTTTTGTTGTTGTTGTTTTTTAAGTAAGTGTGGAGGAGTTCACATCTCCATTTTCCCAGTCTGCCTTCCTTGGAGCAGGCAAAAATAGGAAATTCTTACTATTGCCATCCTTAAAAAGCAAAATTGCTAGTTTGATTCTAATTATACAACATGACATGGGATATTGTGTCATAAAATCCAAGGGGATTTTTTCTCAAGACCTGTAGAAATACATTCAGCCACAAAAACATCAGCAGCCCTCACTTGATCTAAGCCCAAGATACAAGAATGTACAAGATAATGAGCAAAAATGTGCATCAGGCATCTCCTTTTTGGCTTTACTCAGCTGTGGAATGTCCCTCACCAGAGCATCCCTTAAGGAAGTAATGCTGCAGAGCTTCTATTGCTATTGATGCAATTTGTGTAAAAGGTAAACAGGAAATTTTGCATCTGGCCTGTTCCTAAGCCACTGGTGTCAGCAGAAAATATTGTCAGTAAAATATTATCAGCTGAGGACAGCAGCTCCTGAGGGCCCTGTTTCTCCACCCTGCACTTCAGTAGAGCTAGACACTCATTCAAGTATTTTCATCCTGATCTTCCTTAAGTAGAATTCAGAAAAACAAAAAACAACCCTTAGATATCAGAGTACCCCCAGACTGGATCTGTCTGGGATTCAAGCAGCACACTAAAAGAGCCCTCAAGGCAACCTGCAACAAAAACCTGCCCCAAACAACAACAACAAAGAAAACCAAGACACCTGCCCCCCAAATAAATAACCAAAAACATTCCCACCACTTTTTCAGCAGCCTTAGTTCAAAACAGGAATTTAAAAAAAAGAAAAAAACTAATAAATTTAATCTCCATTTTACCAAGCATTTTTAATTAATTCCTGAGAAATTCTTAGAGTGGGTCTTTCAGTATTGGATCATGGTTTTAATTTTTGAGCTGTTTTTCAAGCTTTTTTATTTTTTTTTTGGTGCTTATTAAAAAACACTTACTAATCCCTACAGTGAGGCAGTGATAGCTGAGGTGCTTCCCTTGCTGGTCTGATGGCTTTCCATCTCACCCAAAGTCTTAGGTCAAAAAGCAAACTGTAGGTTTTCATTTGTCCAAGAGAGAAAGCTCTTGTTAAGCCATAGAAAAAGAAGGCAGGTCCTGTCTTTCCTTGTCTCCTACAGTGTATGCTTGTATGTGCTAAGAATTCTGTTCACGTTGCAATTACCATGAGAGTTTCATGGAGCACTTAGAGGAGATTTCTCTCCTTCAAATCCAAGTATTGTTCAGTCCTGGGACACTGCTGCTCTTTCATGGTTTTTGTGGGTTTTTTTGTTGGGTGGTGTTTTTTTTGTTTGTTTGTTTTGTTTGGGTTTTTTTTGTGTTGCCTTGTCTAAGGCTGTAAGTACCTATATTCCAGACTTGTTCTTAATTATTTGGAAAAAATGGATGCTGAATATATAAGAAGAATGCACACACATTTGTCTTTCTCTGGCATAGTCATATGTCAAAATAAATTATCTCATTTATGCTTTGTTGTTTTAGAGTGAAGAACTGGTATTAAGCAAAGAAACCAAAGACAAACGCTTAGAGGATGGTTACTTCAGGATAGGTATGTAACAGTAGAAAAAAATGTGTATTTTTACTATTGCAATGCTTAAAGACATCTTTATTAAAACCAAAACAAACCTAAACCAGAGTTTTTACCATTCATTTTTGGGTACATGACTCCGTAGGCTTTACTTAATATTGTGTCCACTAGTTCTTTTCAGAGACTGATGTACTAAACAGAGATCTCTTGTGATTCTTACTTGTGATGCAGCTACATCCAACTTTTCTGCCAGTTTTAATCACCTAGATTATAATAGAGGCATTTCCAGGTTTTGTAAGATCACCTCCTCTGTCCTGTGACTGCACAAGTGCTTTGGTGTGAGTTGTGTGCTTGGCCTGGATTTGAACCCACCCTATAAACAATCAGCTGTCTCATCACAGGATGAGATTGGCATTTCAACATCCAAGTAGCTGTTGAGGAAGGTGCTTGGATACGTGTTGTCAAGGAAGAGAAATTTTACACAGTTTTAATGAGTTGCTGGACACAGTTTGGGAAATTCTGTTAAATGGAAGCACATTTTTTTGTCATAATAAATTACAGTTGTCTATATGGTTTAACTGTAAAGTCTAACTGGGCTTTTAAGTTGAATTCTTACTTGTCCTAATATAACTGAAGATGTTTTAAATAAGAATATGTTATGCATGAATGATATTCCTTGTCCTTAATCCTATTTGAAAACACATAAGCTAAAAGCATATAATTTCTGTGATATTAAATGAATACCTGTGTCAAAATCTTCACCGAGTTCAAGGTGTTAATGCCTTTAGACAGTTTCAAAGCTGTCATTATGCATAATCCTGTTCAGATTGGTGTGCCCCATATTGTTTGCTGCTGCAAAAACTGGATCTGATGTCAAAATCGCTCACTGCCTTTTATTTTGGGAATGATACTCTGATTCTGTCGCAGTTTATTGTGATACCGCAGGTACATTTTCTGGATTTTGTACTTCAGTTCGTTGAACAGGACTTGATTGAGTATGTACTTTTGCAGGGAAGTTTGAAAATGGTATAGCTGAAGGAACAGTTGACCCCAGCCTAAATCCTATTTCATCATTCCGGCTTTCAGTGATACAAAATTCAGCTGTTTGGGCAATTTTGAATGAGGTAAGAGGTGGAAGAACATTGAAAAACATAACCAGTGAATGGGAGATTTCTTCATTCTTTTTTGAAGCTCGGACTTTTAGCTAACACTAAAAATAGTTACCTCTTATTACTGAGAAATGTAATACACTAAACCATGACTAATTTTTTTCTGATTCTCTATTTCAGATTCATATTAAAAAGATTACAAACTGATCATGGAAATCTGCTTTAGAGGAAAAAGAAAGAATCCTTGAAAATTCTTCCTATAAAATCTGACATCCTTAGAAAGTCACAAATTGAAAATACTGAGCATGCACCTTATTCCAAATGTCATTATTTTTCACTTGAACTCTACCTCCTGTGAAATCTACTGTAGATGAGAAGATTGTATTTACCCCTTCTTATCTGATCCATCCAGAAACTGATGCTCCACACTGATAATGCCCGTCCGAGGCCCAAGTTGTCCTCCACTGTAATGTGACTTTACCATCTTACGGTTGCAGAACCCTGTTACGCTTAACCTGTACTATTTTGATAGTGTAGTAATATAGTTGTACATATTGTTACATTCCTTGAAGAAAAAAAATATAATTATTGTTAAATAAGTTTTATGAAGGGGGTACTTTCGGAGTTCCATTTATTTTCTATAACAAGAACCCTCTTTTATAGACTGTCAGGGATATATATTAAAAATGCTAGGGATATTTAATTTATTAAAATAATTTGAAAAGTACATATTTTTATGCAGTAAAATTTTAAATTGATATAGTTTTTTTATGAATTGTCTAGTTTAAGTTATCTTTCTACATTTTTTTTTGGAGATGCAAACATAAATTAATACCATATTTCAAATATACTGCCATGTTTAAAAAAAACAAGATTAAGTTTCTAAATTATGTAGTTTTATACACAGAATCTGAATGATGTTCAGAGGCATAAACAGAGTTCTGAAGAGCATTATTCTTTGGGGCTTATGAAATTATACTATGTACAGTTTGTAGCCACATAAAAAGCATGTTGAAATGTCTTGTTTCATATTATGTACTAAATCTGCAGTGATTTTAGATTGAATCCATTGCATTTTAGAAGAATTTTTTTTTAACTCCAAACCAGTTCTTTCTAAAAATATTTGTAAACATTTCCTAGGCTGAACAAATTCATTTTCTGTACTGAAGAAAATCATTCTCCAGCTTTGCTTTGGAGTGACAGGAGGCTACCTTTTATCACAAGAATGAACAGTAGATACATTTGATTTACAGTGGTCTCCTTTTAAAAACTTCTGTTATTGCAGTGTTTATTTTGGATACATTAGTGAGTAGTTACAGTTTATTTTCTTCTTTTGCTTAAAACAAGGTCTTAGTTTGACTCCTTTATGGATCAGTATGGAAACTCGCACTGACCTTATAGTAGGAACGGAATTTGGCCTCAAGTTAGTACCCTGCCTTTTCATTTCAAGGGAAACAACAGTGATCTTAAATGAATCAGAAATTTGGTCAGGAACAGAAAGTGGTCTGGATTACAGTCAGAGTGGAACTGTCGCAGTACTAATGCTGCTGCTTTTCTTAAGAGTCCTACTTAGGTGCTTATGTGTAAGGACTCATGCATGGGAAAAATTCAGTTAGTCAGAAATGGCCAGGAGAGAGGGAGGAATTCCTCCCTTTAATAGGAATGAAGTGCCTGATTGACATTGGAGGGAGGCATCCACACTGGCTTGGGTATTCTCAGTTGTGCTGTGAACCAGCCTCTTGGAACTGACATCTCAAAAGCTGGCCAGCTTTCCCTGTGGAAAAAAACACACTCTGCTACCCCCAACATAGGATCATAGAATCACTTAAGTTGGAAATTACCTTTATTGTCTTTGTGATCAGGGCAAATATGTACAAAACCTGTTGCAGGTTCCCTGATCTAGGGCAGAGGTCTTGAATTTGTACTTCCCCAATAAAGTTCAGCTGATAGATTTGGGCTCCCTTTCCTGATAGGTTTGTCCTTACAAACCTTTAGGCAGGAGCCTAAAGCTGCCTCTCTAGCACTGCAAGCCCTCACCACTGGATTATAGTGTCAACCTGTCTTCTGCCTTGTTGGAGAATTGTGCCATAGCTTTCACAATTCAGCAATATTCAAGTTGAAGAACTTAACTACTTCTACAGACTGTTGTCATTTTGATTTAGCTATGTTGTCTAGGGAAGACAAGATTTGTACACAGAGATAAGACCTTCAGTTTAGACTGATTAGTGTAAGTTCAAGAAAAATTAGATACCAAGTGGACCTTGTTTACTTTTTCTGATCGCATCAGGTGGTGTAAATAAAATGTTACTTGGAAAACTTGTGTTGCCCATAGACACTGAGGGCATAAGCTAAGCACTGGTCACACAAATGAAGATTATTCTTGGATTTAGGAATGTGGGTGACTAGGCTCTGAATCCTGTGTGACTCTAGCCTATTGTGGTGCTACAGCCCTGTTTGTTTCCTGTATAATGCCCTGCCATCAAATTACCAACATGCAATGGCTTTTTATCACACGTCAGCTAGCAAAGGTCTGAGAAAGTATTTAGGTTTTCTTCTCAGCTGTGTCCGAATGAATGATGCAAGTTAATTAAACTAGGGCTGTTTATTATAATCCAGACTGCAGAAATACATTCAATACTGTAGTTTCTTAATATAATTAGTTTTGCTGACAGTGACCTTTTCCATTTTCTGTGAGTCCAGAAGTTTATTGGTACTATTTATGTAAGGAAGCTGTGTGCTTATTCTCAAAGCAACACTGTTCCTGACGTTTCACAGTAGTTAAGATGAATCATTGATAATATATTTAAATACATAGAACCCGTACAGTGATTGCTAGATTGGTTAGTAGTATATTTAGTTTTCAAAAATGTTGAGAAAAAATTTATCTGAGACAACAAATTAAACTAGTGTGTGGTAAAAAGTGGGATGCATTTTTATTACATTGTAGTAGCAGGAGTTGAAAATACTCTGGGCTGCTTGAATACTTTCAATGTTCCTGAGTGTATATGCTCTCTAGATAAATGTGCCACATTAATACAAATTATATTTCATAGATCCAGGTAAATTCAGAACTGGTGTAATCAGGTAGATTATTTCTGCAGACAACTATTTTGGGCTTTGTACCTTTAAATTCCAATCCCTAAGTCAGGCTAAAGTGGTGCAAGTCTCCTTCCTGGAAGTATGGTGAAGTAAGAACACCTGAGCTGTTTGGCTTATCAGCCTTTAGCTTGGGTACCCTTTGGGACTGGGTCTACACCAGTGGGCCAGTGTCTCCTGCACATCTCCATTCTAAGAACAGCATTACCATAAGAGATCTTAAACAGCATCTTAAACCTATTACCTGTTTTGAGAGAGTTTTTCCTTCATGCATTCAATTTCAAGTTACTTTTGTTGTGACCTTAAAAATCCCCTCAAGGCTGCTGAATCTTAAGAGATATCCAATAATGGAAAGTGTTTTAAAAAAACCTGCACTATCCTATGCTCCTGTTAGCTCCTGAAGCTGTTAAAGCTTCAGAAGAGCAAATTTTTGTGAAACCAAAGGCATAGCCAGAAATCTTTATTATCTGGGCAAATGAACTTCTTATACTGGATGCCAAACAGACTGGCTGATGTGAACATTTGCTTTTCTGAGCTTATAAGGATTACTTGGGACCAAGGAAACACAAGACTGTCAGTATAATCTTGCTTTGCTCATTCAGTGGGTCATCCTACTGAAAACTTTGTAAATAATGTGAACAGGATGTGAAAATTAGAGTGTTTCTAAAGCACTGTATAAGGCTTTGAGCTTTTGCAGGCATCTCAACCGTGTGTTTTCATTGATGGAGAAAATTCCTATGGATATATTCATTTTTTCTGTACTTAAAGATGGCTTAGAAAAAATCAGATAGATGTGATTCATGGACCAAGAAAAGACCGGAGTCTTCTGTCATATCACTGCTTGTCTTAGATGTTTCAAAGCAGTTTTTAAATACCTTGAGTCAGTTTAGAGCAAAGCAATTTATACTTTGCCTGTGTGAAACACAGTTCCGTGAATGAGCTGAAGTGTGATTAGTCTTTGGAAAAATTTGGAAACTGTGTACCAGTTTCCTCATTTTATTTTATTTTTTCCCAGATATAATTTCAATAATCTTTGTATTTTGTTGGAAGTACTTGCTCCAGATGAAGTATCATAGTACTTTGTAGTTCACCTCCAACTTGGTGTATTCTTTTAGTCTCATGGTGGTAAAAGAAAAATGAAATCTTCTCAAACCTTGCTCCCCTAAAATGCATGAACCCAAGGTTCTATGTTTGTTCTTACTAGGAATGGTGTATTATGAAAAAGTTAGTAACATCACACAAGTAACTCTAGCTAGAAAGGGGGGAAAAAAAAATCATTGTGTTTTTAAATCATCTTTACAATCACCAGCATAAGGCTAAAAAGCTATTAAACAACTGGTGTTTTCAGGCTAGCATTGATTGCTGATGTAAAACACACAGCCCATGGAGACCTGGTGAATTAGTACTTGAGTGTCACCTTCCTGACCTTAGTGGTCTCTGAAGGGTTTTGCTAAGTTCTGCTGTAAACAGTGAACTGCTGGAAGTTAAAGTAGCTTAATTTTGAGAATGATGAAGCCTTCTTTCAAGGGAAAAAAAATGTTTATCTCTCTAAAGGGAAGGTAAACAGGCCCCGTGTCCTTCAATGGTATCACACCACAGAGCACTAAATGTAAAGTATTTTTACTGTTGAACTGAAGTGGATGATCAGTGATGCTAGGATTCCTGTTGGGGAAAAGTTGTACAGTTAGGCTGCAGCTGCCTGCAGGACGGGAGTTTGTGCTGTTAGCCAGGGAGGGACAGATCCTGACTGGAATCCTGCACTTTCCATGGATCAGTAGTTCAGTGCTTTCCTTTTTTAAAAGAGAATGTTGCTCAGCATCTGCTGAGAGGGAAACGTGAATCTCTTCAAGCCTTAACAGTGGCTGAAACACACAGTACTGTAAGATGCACTGCCAGCATATTTGGTATTTTAAGATAAATTATAGTTTTACCTTAGAGATCAAATTCTAGTATTGAAATTGTCTTACTGTAACCAGTTTACTTTTGTGTTGTTTTGGAAACCGAATCCTAGTGCTCATGTTTCATGCTGAACACAGTTTTCCAATGCAGTCATCTTCACTTTCCATAAGGTATTGTTTGTGATGGTCAGTTTTACTTCTGCCTTGTGGACTTTGCAGCTGCAGGCATTGCCATAAGCCCAACCCTGTAGCCAAACCAACTTGTACTTTCCTTCCATGTTCATTGACCTGCCACTCCTAACAGTGGATGTAGTAATACCCACTGGACTGCTAGAGAAAAACTTGCTGCTATCTTTGGAAACCTGATATGGGTCATGTTAATTGTGCCTTTCATCACTGTTACTTCTGTGTGCCAGAGTTGTCCATGTATATTTGAAGTAGTCACTAAAGTAAATCTGTTCTCAAAACCTTTCATACAAGGAGAGGATAGATCTGTATCTAGAGACAGTTGTTGCTTTAGCATCGCAACACTATTAAGATCTGTACTTTCACACAGTCCCAAGGCAAGGTAGTCCAATATTACTCTTCAAGAAAACTGCTTTTTGGTGTCACTTAAACCCCTCATAATGTAGAGCTTATGCCAGTCTGTGCAAAGTATCTGCAGTAAGAGTTATGCTACATAGACTTGTTGCAGTTAAATTTAAGCTACGGAAATGTACAAGTAACTTGTTTTTAGGAATGTACTGCAAAAGTATTTGAACAAAATTGCTAACATGTTTACTGTTGTAAATATTTTAATAAAAAAAGGACACTTCAAACTTTTTTACACAATTATCTACAATAAAGAAAAATTTACAACCATTTACAAAATGTTCTTAATTTTTTCTTTACTGTCAAAATGGCTAAGGTAGAAACAAAATAAACATTGGATACACAAAGTCCTGGTTTTATTTCACTCTGTATTTATAAAAGGAACAAAGCATCTTGGTGAAGTTCCATCCACATGCTAATGAGATCAAGTAGAGCATGATGAGAAGTGCAAATGGATACAAAAGAATAGCTGTGTTCTTCAAAAAGGGCAATGCTGAAACAGAAGCAATATTGAAGCAAGTATAAAGT